GTTTTTTAAATCATTCATGATTTGTGTCAATTTGAAAACGAAGAGCTCTAGGGAGAAAGGCTTACAGTCCTATAAACGCTTCAGATTCCGAGAGCTTAGGCAGCTCAAAGTACTAGCCTAAGGAAAAAGATATGTTTGACAAAGTGCTTCGAACTGATTAGTTAGATATTAGCTTGCAGTGGAAAGGCAATCTTGCACCGTCTATATGAAAGTTAACTTGTCTTTGCAATTTAGCTTGAATGACTACTAGAGTCAGTCTAAGACAGTTTCCACAGCTCCTAAGGAAACTGCCTCAAACCTAGCTGATCTGCAAAACTGTACGCCTGATGGTTAAATTGCTTTTGTAAAATTGTACTGAATAGATGTGATACTGTTTCTCATCTTAATGGCTACTTGATACCAGATTGATATTTTTGAAGGCAATAAGCACTCTCTCGATACACTCTCTTGATACACTCTCTTGATACACTCGCTTGATACCCTCTCTTGATACACTCTCTTGATACACTCGCTTGATACACCCTCTTGATACACTCGCTTGATACACTCTCTTGATACACTCTCTTGATACACTCGCTTGATACCCTCTCTTGATACCCTCTCTTGATACACTCTCTTGATACACTCGCTTGATACACTCGCTTGATACACCCTCTTGATACACTCGCTTGATACCCTCTCTTGATACACTCTCTTGATACACTCGCTTGATACCCTCTCTTGATACACTCTCTTGATACACTCTCTTGATACACTCTCTTGACACTCGCTTGATACACTCTCTTGATACACTCTCTTGATACACTCGCTTGATACCCTCTCTTGATACCCTCTCTTGACGCACTCGCTTGATACAATCTCTTGATACACTCTCTTGATACACTCTCTTGATACACTCTCTTGATACACTCGCTTGATACCCTCTCTTGATACACTCTCTTGATACACTCGATACACTCGCTTGATACCCTCTCTTGATACACCCTCTTGATACACTCGCTTGATACCCTCTCTTGATACACTCGCTTGATACCCTCTCTTGATACACTCGCTTGATACACTCTCTTGATACACTCTCTTGATACACTCTCTTGACACACTCGCTTGATACAATCTCTTGATACACTCGCTTGATACCCTCTCTTGATACACTCTCTTGATACACTTGCTTGATACAATCTCTCGATACACTCTTTTGATACTATTGGTTCTTCTAATTTCGCGTTGAAGGAGGTGAATGCTCCAATAGCTTTGTCGCTCGGGATTTCCCAGCCACAATGCTAGATAACGTCCCCTGATTAAGACTTTTGTACCGAAAGGTTTATTAATGTCCAAAATTACCCTTTCATCCGCTAGCAATCGTAAGTTATTGTATGGATAGATTAGGCAGTGGTCATCAAACTTAACCTTCGGTAGTTTTTCTTTTTATGTAATGTAACATGAGACTCTTTTTAAATCAAATACTTCCTTGGCTGTAAAAATAAATGCCCAGTCTCGGGACAGACTTTACTTTCTAATTCTCAATTTATGCCTAATAGTTGATGGGGAAAAGAAACTTATTCTAGGTATGAAGGATCTAGGATTCTAGGTATTTCTAGGTATGAAAGTTCTGCATATATTTCTGCTTTCTCGTCTAGAATAGATGTCTCCCATATGTAACAAGAAGATGTCTTCCAGGACAAAGTGGATGCTTGGAAGTAAGCAATTCTTTTTTGAATCAATATTTTGCACTGAATTCATTAGTTTTTTATAGTGCTACTCTAGTGGCAGTTTATGATATTGTAGCATTGGTTGTTAGAATTAACAATTGAGAAAAAGGTAAGTCTAAAGTTTGCCAAGTTAGAAGTAGGCCGGTTTTTATATTTTCCGCTGTTACTTGCACATTTGATTCTTCAGCATGACTGTGATCATAATTGATATTAACCGTGCTCTTGTCACGTCGAAATAAGTAAACTATCGCTCAAAAGACGTTTCTTACAGTTAAGAAGGAAGAACTTACAGTCTCTTTTAATATGAGAGCAGCCCTTTTACAGCGGGTATTAAAATGATGAGAAGATGGCATTTGTATTTCGACCAATGGTCAATCTCAAAGCCACCAATAACATCTAAAGCAGTATAATCTAAGCTCAATCTAACTGTCAACGGTTGCTGAGCCAACTAAGCGAGATATTCTGAAATATTTTATTGAAAATAGTCAGCTCGTTCCCATCTTAAACTGTTGTAGTTGAAAATTCAAAGCTTTTTAAAATATGATAAAGCGCTACGTCTTTTCTGTCGAATGTACAGAAGAACGTGATCCAGCACAGTTTCTGATGCAATGTGTTTAGCAAAGGTATGAAACATTTGATTCATACCAAAGATATGCATGCCAAAGAAAGTGCTTTTGGATTGTAGTTTCACAAAACTGCGTCAGAACTGTTCTAACCTTTAGAGAAGAGGCTTGTCTCTGTCTTTAACCAATGAGTTTCTCCTGTGCTCAGCCAATACCGTTTTCTTTGATATAACACTATATTATAACAAAATATTTAATTCAGCCTGTAAGAGACTGGAAAAACCCCGAACGTGAAACATCTTTGCTACAACGCAATGTGATTGTAATACACTTGTTGCATTCGAGTTGTCTTGACACCAAACCTGGGTCTCCATACGACTGTGGATTTTGGTTCCGTCTAAGAAACAATTGTAGTTTAAGGCGTCGATGGCCTTAATTTATGTAAAAATACTTACTAATAGCTAGTGTAAAAAATATTGATAAATATGTTAATTAATTCAATGAAATCGGGGTCCGTTTAACTCAGTTGTAAGGGACTTGAAATAAATTGCATTAAAAGATCTCGGGGTCTGTAGATCAAAGTTTTGTTAATCGTGCAAAGCTTACTTTAACTCGAGTTAGATGCGGTATCATTTCCACAATAAAACTGTCTTTGTCCGTAAAGAAAAAGTTCTCATTGTTAGATTTAACTAAGAAGGCTTAGGATATATCAATGACGGAATGTCTTTGAATTCGCAAAATTCTGAAAGAAAAACCGGTGCACGGCCAGTTATGATTTTCCGCAGAAATTCAGAAGACGGGAATTCGACAACCCTATTCACACAACTAGATCTGACTAAAAGCAAAATCGGACTCAAAGGGGAGCGCAAGACAGATTTAACGATCAGACAAACCCTTAGAGAACAATAGAATGGGGACAATGAAAATAATTGATTCCTTTGTCATGCTAAAGACTTCTTTTTTATTGCAAATGATGGGCTTCTCCTTATTTTCATCGCACGATGTGTAATAGGATTGTACATCGCTTCATCCGTTTTCATTATGCCTTTGACTGTCTTTGCCGACAAGCCAATGGCTGTCCAAGAGCCAAACAGATGCGGAGACGAGGCTTGTATATAACGATCCTCCTCTGACCCCCTTTTTACTCAAGAGACTGAAGCAGTCAAGCTCAAAGTTGGTTCGTTGACGACAACACGCATTCTTTGGTAAGTAGATTACTATTCTTAAATTTGCGAGGGATTTGTTAGAGACTCTGCAGTATGTTCAATGGTGGTGTGAAATCTCCATTTTATTTTCACGGCAAAAATTTTCTACTATGTAGAAAATACTCAGGCATTAAAAGATATCGGGCCAGAAGAGGGATAAAGGTAGACAATCTTTATATGAGCAATGGTGCTTAAATTGTGAGCTCCAGTCATTCACTCTGAATGTGTTTTTAAGCTAGTGAGCAGTGAGACGAAACGACTTAAACGCGACCCACTGGCAGGCTTAAACGCTTTTACTCTTCTCAACTTTTAAGCGCTATTAAATAGCAGCTTACGGGCTACTTGTTTAATCGTGGGCTTAGTGAAATCCAAACTTTCTGATTCTGTCATTAGAGGTATTACAAGATCACAATATCTAATGCTTTGGACGGGCAGGTTTGGTCTAAGAAGCTGAGAGCAGCCATTGGAAGTTGCCAATATGACTAATACTGATGTACGTTGTCAGCATTTAACTATCCACGGACAGACAGTAGAACAAGAATTGAAAGTTTTTGAAATTGAGGATGTTGGTAGATTCTTTTTGCGATTTTATAGTTTGCCAAGAGCACCCAGTCGTGAAATTCATGGGACGAAAGGTGTCGTTTTGTTTCAATCAAAGCATTTTTAATCTTGCAATAATGATTGCAAATTACCATTGCCAACCTTTGTATAAACACAAACAGTGTAAATACGAACATCCTATACTGCTCTGATCTTAATATAGCATTAAAATATAATTATAAGCGTTAGCAGATATTTCTTCGTTTGTTTTTAATCATGAAAATGATGAGTTGTATAAAATAAAATGTTAAAAATTTAAGTGTAGCATTTTGTTCAAAACATGAGACGATTGAACGACTAAAGAATTCGTTTAAATTTCAGCTATCGTAAGCATAACATTAAATGTTGATATTGCTTGAAGGAATAAAATGTGATATGATTAGATGCTTGCATCAACAAAGTTTTCCTTCATATTTATTTTTACGACTTATTTCTACAGAAAATTTTCAGACTATTTCTGTAGAGAAGATTCATTGATTGAAAGCTAACCAAAAGCGAGAAAAGCTATACCTTTAGAAATTTCTATAGTGTTTTAATAAGTAAACAAAGAAAACATCTTTTTTGCTATTGTTTTTTTTTAATATGAACGGAGGAGTATATTTGATATTCTTCCATTTTTGTCCACGGGATCTCTTAGCTTCAAGACCAAACATAGAATATATTTTTTGTAAAATGATCCAAAATGTTCCAAAAGGGACCTGCCATTGGCAAAAAACAACAAAACTACAAATTATAAATAATACGAAAGTCATATCTGTAATGAAAAATGCCAAACTCAACAACTTAATCAACGAACTTCAATGTTTACATGCAAAACGCAATCAGATAGCTAGATCAATATGCACTTGAATGCAAATATAACAAACAACCTTTTGTGTTAGAGCTAGATGCCTTTGAATTTTGAGCTTAGTGTGTATTGCAAGCACGTAAATACTATCATGATCTTGTCAGTTACTATCATATCCCTATATTGAAACTTAGTTGCTGTGTGTTTAAACTTGGTTTCAAGTATTGATAAAGTGAAAAAATGCCTAATATGTTGCTACATATCGTAATAAACTTACAGAAGAATGTCCTTAGTATTTTGCTTAACTTGACAATAATCTATTGTATTAAAATTCATTGAGCAAGTTTTAGAATTAATGCTCAACATAAGAGTTTATGAAGCAAGTTTCGGTTAATTATAGCAAAATTTTGACAAAATTCTTTATCCTCTAATAAACCTGTTTTCAATATAATAAATCAAAGAAGAATATGATTTACATAAAAATTATCAATCTCAATGCCTTAATGATCGTTAACCTTTTTTATTTGGGCCTTATGATTATAAAAGTTTCTTTAAAAATGAGTTATTTATCTTTTGTCAACTTTTGTTCACTCCGAATAGTTTGTCTTGAATCAATTGGGATTCATTTGAAGAATAAAGCTGGCAACTTCTTTGCTAATGCTAAGCTCGACATTAGATGGTATAAGACTAAGCTTAAGGCAGAGTTTAATTTAGTTTTGGATACACTGTTTGATCATTGTGAAGAACAATAACAACTGTTGCGTTGTAGATGGAATGATGAGTGTTGTTAGCATATACATGTCAGTTGAAACAATATGCTAGGTAACATACAATCAACTAGATTCATAACACTGCACAATACAAATTCTTAATGATTTTCTATCATTCAAAATCAGCAGCTTTAATCTAAACTCAGCCTTTGATAGTAGAACTGAATTGACTGATTGCTTCACCTGTATTTCTTGATACTACTAACTCATTCTCGATTTCGACTCTCGCAAAGCGCGATATAGCATTCTAAGTCGACAGAAATGCTCTCTACACCATCTCCTATTCTTGGGGCTATATATACTTTTCTATTCAATTTGTACTGGCAGTCGTAAATTTGTTGTCAGACACAATCTCATCTGATTGTGCTGCTTGCCAGGGTTCTCATTACACCGAATCATTTTCAAAATGAAGATGTAAATTGGCTGGACAGGTTTTTGCTACAAACAAATTCTATGACAGACCAGTTAGCAATAACCGTAACAGTCTGTTATGTTCGCGTGAACATATGATTTTGGGCGCCATTAAAAGCAAAAAAACATCGATTCATGGTATATTTGATATATTCATTACATATTTGATGCATGTTAATATCTTAGTAAGTGACTTGGTAGATCTGAGCATATTCAATCAAACGAAAACATGCTTTTAGATTCAATTTAGAGTGATAATAGTGCATTGGCAAATTGAGTCCTTTTTCATATAATTTTATCTAGTGAAATCTTACATCAAATAATTTGAAGGTTTTTTGGATAGTTAAGCTTGCTATGATGAGGCGACAAATCATCATAAGCTATTCTAATTGCTTTTCAAGGGAACCTCAACGAAGCTTTATTGACATATCTTTCTGTATAAGCTGTTGGTTTTCAAGCAAATCCCTCTCAAAAGCTGCACATTTTAAGACATAAACACCATTACAGAAACATTTCCTTTTTAAGTTGTTTAATGGAAATATCGTAAAGTCAAGGATTATATATTTTTTAAACGGCTTAAATTCTACGCGAGCCCTGACAGTAGATTGAAAATCAAAGGTACACATGACGAAATACTTTATAATTCACTGTTGTGTTAACCTTAAAGAGGATTGTCTTCTACTCTAGCTGTTAGAGGATCGAATTAATCAGGTCCTACCTGAGATGATTCTGATTGAGTGATTAGACAGAAAATAAGAACAAAACCCTAAATTTAGTGAGGATTATCATATTCAAATGAAACGCTTGTCTCTTTGTTGATACATTTTTAGTATTTGATGAGTGTAAATGTATCTTAGATAAAGTCAGATAGACAATGAGAAAGCACAAAACAAACTTTTTGATTAAATCGTCATTAAAGAGAGCAAGCTAGATGGTTTTCAATGTTGGAATTCTGAAAAAAAAGCCGAATGACAACGCAAACGGGTCATTGTGTAGTTTACAAAAGTGTAGTATTCAAATAGCTTAAGTGTACTACAAAAGTATATATCCAACAACTTTGCATTACTATCGTTGGAAACAGCAGTATATCAAGCCGATTCTTTACTAAAATAAATACATAGCCTCAGCAGACGGGAGAGTATCTAAATATTAGGTAAAGAGCAGTAGCAGTGCCTTTGGATACTTGACTCTCAAATCAATGCTAAATATTTCACTCCTTTTTTCTTCGAAATACTTCGTGCAAATTTATCGAAGCATTTTTACATCTGCGATTTGGTTGAGGCTTTGCTTTTTCCTAAAAATTTATCATTTGCATTAGTAAAAACTTATTTACTTGAAACATGCACATTTATGAAGAGTGACTTTTATTTGGTAGAATAATAGTGAACATCTCTTGATTTATGATATGCAAGTATCATAAAATGTTATCGTATTATAGTATGCATCATGTTAAAAATTGCTACCCTAGGAGCCATTTTTAGCGCAAAAAGAGCGCTTAGCGTTCACGATGGGTGTTCACCTACACAGAGATCCGAAGACTCATAGCTTTTTTCATTTTACTTTGTATACACAAAGTGGCATTGATCATAATCCCATCTTCTAACGTCGTTTAAGAAAAACATGTTTGATCCGTTTGGTAACCAGACCGAGGTTTGCAAACGCCGTTTGGATATTGCTAGCAGAAACCTTTGTAATGAATTATGGGTAATTTCCTACATATATCCTGCGTGCTATTTGCACTGCACTTAAAGTTGTGAGGTTTTTAAAAGTAATCTTGTAATATCTAAAGAATGGGAGAATCTCAAGAATGGAACTTGAGACGTTTCAAAAAGTGAAAATCATTTTAAGGAACAGAATCTATGATATAATTTGAGGCAGTTGAAAAGAATGTTTCTGGAACAAACGTTTCGCTTTAAGCAGGTCTTGATATTTTTGTTATAATCGGACAAATATCCCTAAGGCTTTTTAATGGAATCTGCCTTTAAATCGGTATAACCATTGTATCAGCCAGAGCACTTTGCAGTCTTGAAGCTGCCTCTAGCTGGACACATAATTTGAAGCTGCCTCTACCTGGACACATAGCGGTCACAAATCACTTAATCGTGTACAGAAGGAACACGAATATTATATCACGTGAACCTTTCTACAGGAGATAGATCTGCCTTCTTTTCCTGACAATTTCATCAGTTGTGATATCCAATTTCATGCAGGATGGCATTGTCGTTACGTGCGTCTTAGGAAATTCCAAACTTTTGCTCAATACTCTCAGCAGAGGATTCTCAGGTCAGGGTTGTTGGACTCCAAGAAATGAAAAGACGCTATAAACTTCCAAATAACGGGCTTAATTCAGCTTTTTAGCAAAAGGTTCAATATTTTCACATTTTTCGTTTATTTGTAGCTAAGATGTGTCTAAAATGACAGCACACAAAGCTGATAAATCTTGAAAGACTTGTGAGTAACACCTGCCTTAATTTTTTAAGGCTCATTTTGCTAAAGAGTTGAATTTGCATTGGTAAATAAGTTCTTTACTATTTCTATAGTCTATAGGAAATTGAAATCTGCTGGCCTAAGCATATTTGTCACCCACTGAAAAGAAATCAAATTTTTAAAGATGACCAAAATATAGTCAGCGGTAGACATTTTCTGGTGTCGATGGCAACTGAATAAATGCCTCCCTCCAATTCCATATGACTCAGAAATTTCAGCACAAAATTTCGGCTTATTAAATGCAGGTATTAAAGGCTCTTGCGCAACCGGCATGCTTAGCGGCAGCTGTCTTGTGAAATTAATTGTGTTTTGTGTTTTCAGGTAGTACGATATTAGGCCGGTTTGAAAATATAGCAGCAAAGCATGCTGGTTGCGCAAGAGCCTTTAAGAAGAAACCCAGTACTTGGGTATACAGAATTGCTTCCCATTCGAATGATTGTGATGCTTTGATTGGTGTTAAAATCGATTAGCAAGTTCGCAGCAAATTAATCCAAATTAGTACAGTTGGTGATCACTAAATAACCTCTGTTTCCAAAAACCTCAGAGCATTTTCCAATGTTATCATCCCTCATCCTTTCACAATCTGTTTTCTAAACTTTTATACAATCTGCAAAAGAAGCGCTTATAAAAGTTTTCTTAAAACAAATTTGAAAAGAAAAATATACCAGGCTTTTCCATTTATTGTTTATTTCCCTGTTTTCTGAAAACATTTATCAGATAATAGCAATGCCAAGACTGACTGTTGACTTACACTAATCAGAAACCGATGTCGTGCTAGGAGCTGTTTCCTATCGCCAACCTAACGTGATTTCCTTGAATGCTTTTTGATTAGATATCTTTATCATCATTTTCCGTGTTACAACTATTGTTGGAAAGGAAAACGTCGCTCGCTCATTTATGGCGAATAGCTGGAGAAAGCAGTTTCCTTGAAAAACCTATCTCTATTTGAATAAAACCACATCTATCGTGACCGCATACTCATTGCTCGGCACGAGTACAGATGCCATTGCATCAAAGACTACCTGAAACGGCACCTCATTCAGTTGACACATTGGCTTTGTGTGCTGTCATTCCAGTCCCGACACTGCCTGGCATTAACAGTTGGTTTGGATTAAATTCTTCATAAAGAATCGAGGTAATTTTCATTTGATATTTATAGTGAAAGGTTCATCAGCAGTAAATACATAGATAATGGGATGTATATGGAACACTATGTCACTCTAAAGTTTTGGAAAACTCTCACATTTAATATTAACTATGACCTCTTAATGTTTAAATGCCTTTCCAAATTTTCAAAGATTCAATTATCAAGTCGGCCACTTCTAAGTGAGGACCAATTTTGCGTCCAGATGCTACTTCCCCTAAAATGTTTTAATCAATTATAATATCGATATATCTACAAAAATGCTGAGACAAAATGCAATTTTTGTAACTTTCTACTTTACTTTGCCCCTGTTAATTCGAATCCCCCCTTTCCCCCCGAAACAACGTTGGATTTGTATCATTTTTGCTTCAAAATCATGCATTCAGCATTGAATCAGGGGGGGGGCTATTTTTCAAAGGAAAGAGAAAATACAAACTTTTCTTGAAAAGTCTCAACTATTTTTGTCCGGGGTTGTAGATCTGCCACTGTGCCACTGGTATGTTCATTAACCATGATTTTTTAAAGAATATACTTTATGAGTTTTTTTGCAATCAATACTTTTCGAGTTTCAAAATGATATAAAATCAAATTGGGTTTTACTGAAACAATTAAACCTTGTTTTAGGACACAATTTCTAAAATTAAAAATGCTTTCTAAAAGGTAGCTTAGAATGAGAAAACTACTACCTTCAAATTAACGTTATGCAAGCAATCTTTCTCCTAAAAAGCTGCTCCAATCAGAATATAATTTTTCAATGTGTCCAAACAGAGCTGGTTGAATAAAGTAATTGACATATGAGACCCGCGAAACTGCCCGAGTCCCGCGGGAATTTAGATATTTCCCAAACTTTCTTATTAATATTTAAAGAATGACCCCTAGTTGCCCCACCCAGATGATGGAGAAACCAGACCATTTGATACAATTCTCATACTTTTGGAATTGACGAAGCGGTAAGGAATTAGCTCTGATTTAAGTCCGTCATAAAATTAGGAAAGTTCGTAGTTAAAAAGACATTGAGATAAATATTTTTGACAGCCATCAGAAGATGGCCAGTAACTCCATGCCTCCCAACTACATACCTCCTGTGCGAATTTTTTCCTTACTTTCATGTTTAGTAGTGTCGCTTTCAATATTATTCAGGAATCGCAGAAAATATCAATGATATCGAAAAAGGCGCCATTTCAGTCACACTATCGGGTGGGCTTAAAATACCAGCTAGAAGCTGCAAAAGTGCTAGCCAGATACCTAAACAGCACCTTACAATTTCCTCTGTCAGAACAAGCTTCTTAAAATTCTTTTATGTATAATGTTCGCACCTTGCCATATTAGATTAACATATCTTACACATGAACATCTTTTTGGAAAAGAACCACTTGTTATGCCTTTCTGGTACAAACTTCAATAAATGTCAAAAAAGACAGAAAGGTCCAATAAATAAATCTAGGAATATAAAGAATCTAAGGTAGGATCCAACTATCGTTTTTTGTCTTTTATACGTATCTTCGACCCAATTTCAATTGTACAAGTTATGATGGTTAAATTGAGTGGTGTTGATGACACGTACCAAAACATAGACGAAAAAAAGATCTCTCTTGGCAGCTTGGTCGGTGGACGGGAAGACAGCGCATTGAAAAAGAAAGCTTGTCAGGTTCCAATACATTTTAATTAAACTATTCTCGTGAATAGAAAATAATCCTCAAAGAATACAAAAAAACCACACAAAAAACGTCGGGCCTAATGAGCTTTGAAATCTTCTTATACCTTATTGTGGCCACAGCTTTTATTGTCATTTCTCTCATATCTTTCCCATGCAATTCATGTTTGAAATGCGATGCCCGAGCGCCAATAACGAGATATGGAAAAGGTTGGATTTCCCATTGAGACTCACATACTAATTCACTTTTAGTTGAGCATGCGCCCTCATAATGCGGCCTATTCAAACAACCCTTGGTCTAGACGCTCAGATTGATCTCGTTACTAGGCCCTGCCAGTCGAAGCTCTCCGGCAAACAATGGTGTACGGATACCGAAACATATCACTGCAACATTCTAAACCACGAATGAACTTTCTTGTGGCTTTCTAATGGATGCACTATTAACTCATCGCATACTAGTAGTCTTTAAGCGTTATCTGATTGAATATTAACCTTAGGAAATGATGTTGATAACCTTGCGACCTTGCTGAACGAACAATTAAGAGCATCTTCACCAATTCATGCATTTGCCTCCCATGAATGCGAGACTTCCCTTGCATCGAACTCATAACCTCTATACTAAGGCGGGTTAAAGGAATCTGGTTGCATCTGATAATTGCTGTTAAAACTTCTGAAGAAACTTGGTAGTGTTTTATTCCACCTCTTTTGCTATTGTTAATATTTTCGTCAGCTTGTTTGGTATTTCATAAGTATTAACTTCAGAATACCACAAACTGGTACACGTGAACTTTAGGGGGTTCCTTTGATGTGTCTTTGGGTTCAAATTTCAATAGCTATAGATTTGCTTACAACATTTGGTTATGGATACTATCTGACTTTACCATTAAATAAGAAAAACTCCCAATTGACTGCCCGTTACTCTTTAATTGGAGTTTTATGAGCAAAACAACTCATAAGCCGATAAAGCAACTACCAAAATCTCAATTAACTTTCCCGTGTTTCATATTTAGTTACCTACAGCATCTCCCAAACAGAAAATAAATTTCCACTTGTTAATAAAGACTGATAGTTTAAATTACAATCCATTTGCTTCACATATTAATTGATAGATTTATGTTTTTTCAAAAGAAGGAATTTGTTGACTCAGATTAGTAATCAAATCCAGAAAATCTTCAAGGGTTGACTTTTTTCACCCCTTGAAAAATCACCACTTTCTAGCAAGCTGTTTGAATCTTTTTGTCAACCAACAGCAAAATTAAAACTATAAAGTTTCATATAAACATAAAAGGTGAATGGACCGCTGTTTAGATGAATGAATCGCCGATTTAGTACAAGTGTATTTCTTCTTTATTTCTTGATTCAAAGATTATCTACTTCTCATCACTAATTCTTAGTTACCAGGGAAATGCTTTGGTACTGAGAAAGTTCTAATGAAGAAAACTTATCTTAAACTGATACAGTAGTGTCATAATGTAACAACGGGTGATAAGATGGAAGTTAGGTCTCAAAAGAGAACTTTCAAATATTATAAGATCGTTGATATTATAGGTTCAGATGCTACGCGAACGCAAGCTCATTTCTAGCCACAATATGTTCTTAGAAGGGCTTGGAACAATTGAACTCTTAAAGGTACTAAAGGAAAGTTGTTAGCGCTTAAACCTGAGTACAGGATTAAGCCTTTATAAGCGGCAAGATTCAATAATGAATAGCAATCGTCTAAGATTTTAGTCAACCTTCAATAGCAGCGAGTTACTGGACAATGTTTTCGGACATTATCATGATAATTTTTTAATCTAACGTTAAAGAAAGGCTAAGATAGGAAATTTTGGTTTGACAAAGTATTTGAAGCCGTTTGAAGTTCAGAACACAAAGTTGGCTTTAAGAGAAGGAGAAAACTTTGGCAACAGAAAATGACCTACCATTAAACATTGAACAGAGAATAGTTTACAAATGTCTGGATTCATTTGAAAATAAAAGCATAGCTTATAATAACAGGCATTAACAAGGAGTGTTTCGAAGAATGTGCAAATTTACAAACAACCAAGGCTAGTTCAGTTCTTTGCAGAGGTTAGAACTCTGCCGCGCTTTTCTCCCTAACAATAAACTATGTAAAAACTGCTTATGAAAGGTGTATGGTTTTGTTGGTAAATGCTGTTGGGTCATCGCGTGATAAAACAAATGCTTTTATGTTCTGTACATGCATTGCCTATAATCAATGAGTTATCTGGTAGGAGAAACTTTTCTTTTCTTGCCAGCGGTGATAATGCAAATATTAAGGTTTCTGCATATCAACCATAATCAGTCGCCAAGTTAACATAGAAAAGCCCCTCATCTACAATATCCTTTTCCAATAACATTTCAATAAATATCTATTGTTTACCAATAACTCTATTGTATATTAGTTTAAATAGTTAATATAATTGTCTTATTTTAATTCTAAGAGTTTGTCTTATTTTTTGCTGCCATCATGAAGCAGGCAGAAAAATCTTGACCTTAAAGTAAAATAGGCAATAGGATTACACTTTAACCACGTTTCTAAACTGAATAATTTTTCCTTATGGTGCAAATAGATTTTGCTTATTTATTTCTAACGAAATAAAGCTAAAAATCTGTTTTTCTACCAGTGGTTGCTCCATGTGCAAGCTAACTCCTCTCTGATATTTGGAACCTCAATAATTCTTCTTCAAATGAAGCGATCTTGACTCTTAAAGCGAAGGCAAGTTTACTTAGAATGACCTTGAAAATAACACACAGTAAACATCTCTCAATTGATCTCTTTACATAAATCATTTCCAAAGAAAGTATGTGCCATTACAGGTTTAAATGTTTAGATGCGATATTTGAAAACAAGATCCATTCTCTGGCCACACACATGCTTACACGAAACAATGTGAAGTTTTAGTTTGTTTTGAGAGTACAGCAATAGCTCAAAGAACGGAATATCAAAACTAACATGCTTTAGCCGATGATTATCGAAACTAAAGGTGTCTCTTGTCAGAAGAGTTTGAAACTGGATCCTATGAATGACAGCTGCATTCCGATGCAAACCCTATCATATTTCTTTAGAGTACTGAACTGTGAATTTGTGCACAACACACCTTTTATATTATCATGTTACCTATATTCGAGTCTCAATACAGAACAATTAACAGAATAAACAGAAGCGATCGTCTTCGTGGGGTTCCACTGTAAAACATTACTTAGTTTATCCTTCGATGAAACTTGAATGAATTCCTCTCCCTTCTCAGCTTCATGCTCAGCACAAGGGTACAAAAGAGATTATCAAAGCCAGCGAAGCCATGTGCTGAACAAATTCTGTTGTCACGTCATAAGCACT